TTGTTGTTGTTGTTGTTGCAGAAAATCATTACAGTTATTTTTGTAGTTAGCTCTGTAGTGGTTAACAAGAAACTCTAAACTCACCTTTTACCACGTGATCTAAAACTGAGGCATTTTGAGGCAAGCCAACCAATGTGACTGAAAGTGATATTCTTATGATAAGCAATGACTGTATTGTTTTCGAAATTCTGCCAATATGATGACAAATACTAATATTTTAATATATCACTGTTCAGTTTTTATGTTATTTTAAACGGAATAATTACAAAATAAAAGTTTTATTTTTATATTTTATAGACCATTTAACCTTTAAATGCATGTATGTAAGTATCAGCCTATCATTTATATATGTGCGCAAAGGCAAGACAAGCGGAACTTTAGCCCATCTGCGATGCATACTTTTTAAGGATAAACTCGTTAATACACACGTTTTTTTCCTTGAGTGGGCTACAAAAAAATACAATTAAAAATAAAGTAAAACTCAAAGACTGTTTAAAGACGCTTTCGTTCTAATTTTGATTTCTGTAGGCTTAAAAAAATACGTCTTTATCCGCGTTGTTTGAGATGGCTGCCTTTAAACTTTAAATTCATGATTAGTTTGCTTTATTAATTATCTAATGATTACCGCGGACTCCAGGTTCTCCAGGACCGAGCTTCGAAGTGTTTTTACGTTTCATAAATAGCCTAAAACATAAGAACGTAAGATTATAGCTTTTTTTCTCTTTCACACAGGCTTTAAATTTTGGATTTCATCTACCTGCAGCTCCTGTATCAGTACCTATCGTTTCAAGTGCTCATTAAAAAGTAAATAAACAACCAAAAAAACGTTTCACTTTACAGAATGATATGCACAACCTCACACTGCTGGGTTGTATTCCCATTGCTGACATTTTAATTCTTAGACTGTTTTAATGGATTTTTGTTAGACTGCATTTTAGTTACTTGTATTTGTCAGCATCAGCGCGCAGACTTCTCTGTGGACGAGGCCAATAAATATATATATATATATTTGTTTTGTTTTTTCACTCTCACACGTGGCTTGTAAACTCGTGGAGTATCCCTGAATAAATTTCCGTCTTTATCATTTATCAGTTATGCAGTAACGCTGCCTGATAGTCATGTCTGCACTGACAACAGCGTCCGTGTCATTTAAAAGTGCTGTCCGGTCTTCTGCAAACTCTTCGTTTCGCCTGCTCGCTGTTTGTGTGCACACCTGCTGTGTTAAAAGTTACCTGCACCCACTCGACCAAGCAAAAAATTCAACTTCGAGGCGAAAAAATGTGTGGCAGCTTCCCAAAATGTTTTGTTTATTTTACATTTCTTTGCCGGGTTGTTTTGTCTTTAAAATGTAAACAAATAAACAGCCTATCTGACGAACGCGAAGCTTCACGAAATCTGCAAAAACTTCACAGAAATACATTTGAAAACTGGAAAATTAGGATTACAAAGTTTAGACGATTCGTTTTTTCTCCGCGGGAAAATGTTGTTACACAAAGGCTATGGCATAAGACTACATCCCAAAAATATGTGTATATTATTTTATCATATGGCAAAGACGAACCAAATTTAGCACTTTTTTCAGTCAAAAAAATGGGGGTAAGTGAGCACATAGGCCCACCTTCGCTTTTGTCAGGAACAAATTCAAATTAATTATGTTTATGGCTTTTTCAAAGGCCTCTGTGAGCACTGCTAAAGTAGTGCAAATATCGCCGAGTCGCTACGGAACAAACACATAGCTCGAGTGGTGTCCGTGTGCAACACTGACTGGTGAGGAAAGTCACCCTGGGGGTGACTACGT